CTTATACCTACACGATATTCGAAAATGTTCCTTTAATTTCGAGCAGCTGAAGCTGGAGAAAAGGTGCGAAAGAATGCCGCTTTGCACGCCAAGGGTGTTCTAACGCCGTGAAGACGGAACGGGGGTCGCGCGGCAGCATGTAAAAGCGAGAATTCTTTTCCTTGGCGCGCGTTCTTTACCGCTTCGGGAACTAATCGGATTGCCTCTCATTGATGGTAATAGGTACCTGACACGGAACGCGGCTACAATACCGCCGCTATTTACCCTATGCAATCGTCGTCGACGCAGCAGCGTTTCGAAACCAATCAACTGTTTTACGTCTGGCACCGACACACAATTTACTCCGTTCCGACGCTCCTTACCACCCCCGCGACTCGCTCTAGTCCGTTAAAGTCTGTCGTTTCATTTGCATCGGTACACCTTGTAACGGAACACCGGAAACTCGCAACCGTCCCGCCGAGTTTCCCGTTTTCGAACGGTCCCGCGGATATATTAGTTTTAATATCGTTGACGCACGCTGCTCCGCGGCTCCATGTTGCCCGTTTAAACGTGCCGAATAGCCGAGTGAACTGTGAATCAGGTTCGAACTCGGATTCAGGTTAAACCGAAAGCGTTTGGTCTTATTAGAGATACAAGTGAAATGTTGAAAGGTTTATTACTCGTGGCAATTAACACGTTCGGCGCCGGCGTTCCCTTTAGCGGTGTAGCCTTCGTGGATATAATATTTTAGTATGGAAACGAGTGTGCAAACGGTTTATAACGAACGATCAACTACACATGTATATCGGGGAACATGAAGCCCCGAATAGCTACAACTTGTTGCCGCCGTTAATTCAGGAACGATCGAAACAAAAGAAAACGGGCGCTGCTCGCGGCTGCATTTAATCGTAAAATTAATAATAAAACTGATTTCTTACAAATTTCAATTCTATATACATAGGTACAGGTATACATAGGTCTATATACATAGGTTCTATATACATAGGTGCATTCTTCCTAATCGACGCTCAGATTGTGCACAAAAATGGACAATTTGGGAGAAGGTGATAAAAATCATTGTAAAAATATAAAATCGATGCCACGATAGTTACAATATAAAAACAGTATTTTTGTGTTTCTGGATTTTTAATTGGTTTGCACTCGAACGACGACTATGGAACACCCTTAAAAATTTCTACATCATTTTTTCAAATACTTTTTATGTTATTAATACGATTTATATCGACGAAGTTGTCGAAAATCTGAGTATTGTACGAGCAAATACGCTCAATTTCATTTCCAATACAAAAATAATACGAAGGGTTAAAAAGATGGATTTTGCAACGAAAAATTCTGAAAAAGTTCAGAGTGTTTTCCTCCATTGGATAGAACGTTAATGAATTTTTTCAGAATGTTCTGTTGTGCACTACAGAAGAAATCAGAGAGCTTTCTGATTGAGCGGCCTATTCGAAGGTCCAAACAAAATGTCTTATACACGTCTGAATGTACTTTTTTATTGGAATATACAATAAAATAATATATAGTAGTTTGTAGAAAAAGAAACAGCGACGCCATTGGACAGCGCGTGATAAAAGAACAATGACTTCGGATGCGAGGCAAGCAGCGAGAAAAAGGAGAGACTGCTTGGAAAAGCGTTCCCGGACTAACTTTCATCCTCTGGCTGGAAAATCGTCATGATTTTTTAACGCGTTTCCGGTATTCCAGAGCCGAGGGCTCGTTCGAACAACGTACTTTCGAGAATATGTCGCTCGCGAGGGCAAATTGTACGTCCGATGCAGCTGCAAAATAGTTGATTGGTTTCGGAATACCGCTGTCGGAGCTGGCAACGCGCATGAGACTCGGCCCTCCGCCCGTTTCCAGATTACTTTTGTTCCTGCGTTTCATTTATAAGTTTTCATTCGGAAGTTTCGAGGAAAGTTGGTCCTCCTACCGGATAGTAATGCATGGAATACCTGAGGCTCTTATTTCCGGCGAATCTGGTTCCATTTTTGTTAAAGATATTTCTCATTACTCAATTCTGAATACTCGATGCTCGATATTTCTAATTACCTAATTTTCAGCAATTAAATCAAAAATAGGTCGCCGTTAGATTAGGAACGACAGAAAGGCTAACAAGTCTGCGAGAAGTGTCCGCAGAAATGTGTTTTGAAAAATTTGCCGAATAAAAAGCTCAGAATTGTTGTAAGTAGCGCCAACGCTACGCTTGTGTGAAAATGCTTCGCCGTCCAAGGGTTAAGCATGTTGTTACTCGACACTTCAATCGCCACGCCGATAAAAAGTATTTTAGCATGAAGCTTGGAAAGTTACGAGGTGTAACATCAACTATGTTGTCAATATTTTTACGTTTTGCGGCTTCTAATCGAATTAGGAAGATACGATAGATTAGCGTGAAAATTAATGTTCAATCTCAAGTAATTTCGTCACCCGCGTGCTTACATATCAGCGGTCGTAATGCACTATAAAATGTAGGGGTTCGTAACTTTCTCTCACGAAATTGTTTCGATAATATCTGAAACAAGCATGCTGCACTTTGCCAACGTTTGAAAAATAAAGACAGGTATCGAATGTGTCCGAGCGATATATTTTTTAATTTTTAAAAGATTAAATCTTTCGAGAGGTGGACAAATTTTTCGATTTTCGTGGAATACGTTCGATGTGCTCGCCGTGCATCGATGTTCTTCAGACTGTTTTAATACTAAAAAGATAATCGAACGACCCCGATGCCAGCAATGTATCGCGACGTCAAACAAAATCTACGTATGTTGTGCACGTAATATCCGTGCAACGTCGATGCTATTCTTTTGCTACTTTTTCTGAGTTTCGTTCTGGCCGATGAAAAAGTCTGTGCTGTTACATACCGAGCGGCAACTTTTTTAAGGTCGCTTCTGTTATTTTTAAAGTGGGAATAGCACGACCGATTTGTAACGCATTCACTGTTGCGACGGACATTTATGGTCGACGTTACCAAACGTTTTTTGGAACGACAATCGATGCAAACATATCGTTTTCAATACAATTTAAACATACTTGCTAAAAAACTATGCTGTCATTTCTGTCTAAACTTTTGCTTTTGTGTAAAATGAAATGCTGTTTGAAACTGTGGGCTTACAAATAGAACATTTTCCAAGGAATATTAGTTTGACACCGAACTCACCTAGCCGCACAAAATGACGTAGAATTTTGCTTACATAGAAAATCATTAAATATTATAATATTTTTAATATTTTAATCTAAAGTCACGTTATAATAAACATGACGGAAGGTATGAATAAATACAGTCCCTTCGCCGGTACCAAGCAATATAGGTTAGTTATTTTTTCGAATCGGTAGGTTTAGTGTTACATAATTAAACAGCGGTTTTTTATGCAATACGAAAATTGTCGGTACTTGTTGCAAGCTCCGGAAGCCACGTGCACATTAATTATTGTTCTTAATCGTTCGAACGTGTGTTACGATTAATACAACAGCATTTTGAAACTCTGAAGATATTTAAAGTGCATCAAATGTACAAGTGTAAAGATATTTAAAGCGCAGATGTACAGATAAGTGCATAAAATCCGCTATAAAATCATGTACAGACTACATGACCATAATAATTGTCGAAGGATATAAACAGTCCAACAGTCTTAAACGATTTCAATCGTGTCCAGCTAGAAATGATTCTCAGCGACGAATGTGCAACATTCGCTAAATGATTTGCAATTTGCGATGGATATACGTTCGAACAATTCGATCAGTCGACTTTTCCCGCGGCACTCGAAGATAGGAAGCGTTCGAACGAATATTTCACAGGTGGGGCGATCTAATATTCAGAGGCGGCTGCATTGGACACTCGAGCAGCAACGATTGTGCGGGTCGGCTCGGATTCGATACGCACGTGCGTCCGATTATTACCGGGCGAGGCACGAATCAACGATAGGAAATATTTCTGGCCGCCTTTCTGGCGGACTCGCGCGCGGCCTGGCTCGCATTCGAACGAGAGCCTGCCTCCCCCCTCCCCCTCCTTTGTATTCGTATCTCGTTAGGGAACGAAAAGCGCGAACAAGATCAGCGGTGTGGGACCCTCTCCCCTCCCCCCTCGCCCAACCGGTGATGCTCGGGCACAGAAAACCGTGGACAAGAGGAGCCTGATGCCAATTGTTGCTCGCCTGGCTCCCCTCATAATGCCCATTGAGACGCAAATTTGCCAAAATTCACCGGGCGTGTCCCGCGAACAGACTTTTCGATTTTCGATAAGTGTTTCCAGACCGTCCGTCATTTTCGCCGCAACGCCATTCATTTTTCTTCTCGCGAATTTCACAGGCCTATTTGGGCCCTTTTTCGAGCCGTTTTCTTTCTTTTTTTTGGAGGCAACTCGACGCGATGTTTGCGGAATAAATTGACCCCTGCGCGAATGACAGATCGTCGTATGGTTATCCGTGACTTTTATCTTTAACGCTGGAACCACCGAGCCCTAAATGCGACCGATCGTATATTGATTTATTACAATGACATGGTTCGATTTATTTAACACGTTAAGTGCCGAATATCAACTCGGAAAAATTCACGCAACATCAAAGTCATTTGATTAACGAAACCGAAACTAGAAAGTGCAAATTTTCCGTAGGAAATATTATATAGATATTCTGTTATTTTATATTCTACAAATCCTAGTAACGTTCAATTTGTTCGATATATTGCAACAAAAATGAATTTCTAAAACCTAGTTAAAAATTAGTGTCACTCATACGTGACTCACGCGGCACTGAACGTATTAAACTTCGTACAGTTTCTATTGTAATGTATGGTTTAATAAAAAAGGTTCGTCTAAACAAATGTTCGTAGAAATATTTTTGTAATATCGGGAATTGTTATGGGAAAAATCGGGAACCGGTCGTTTCGATTGGTTTGGGGTAGTTCTAGTGTATCGAATTATGCCATAACCATTGAAAAATTAACTATTTTGCAGCACTTGAAACATAAAATGCTCCACGACAAAGATAGCTTAAAATATGACTCACTTTGAACGGCAGGGTCGTTGTCGACTTGGAACTTCAGGGCGGTGGCTCTTCTCGTAAACTTCAGTGTGTGCCACATGTCATCGTTCAGACCTTGCCCAACCATTAGAGTCTGTAACCAAAATGATTAGAATCAGTATAGAAAAGTATAGTGTCGAGTAAACAAAATTATTGTATCGCGTACATTTAAATTACACAATAATTCTTTTACATCTCTGAATTGACCGATTCGATCGATCGATTCGAAACGTTTTAATTTCGCAGAAAGATCCATAGTACAGTTTGATTACTGATTTTTCACGACTTTTACTTGATTTTTACTTGATTACTGATTATTCACGATTATTAACTCATCCAGCGTTTTCGTCGAGATAAAAACGTGTAACAGAAGAAATGTCCACACTTTACAATATCTTTATGACATTAATATTATATTCGTATCGTGTGAATGCCATTCAGATTTTATTACTTCTACATACATTATTTTTTATCGAATAATGTCTCTATATTCGTGTTACAAATCATGTAAAGATCATGGTAGCCCGAGTCTTTTACAAATAATACAGTGAATCGAAGAACGTGGCTCTCGTTCGCGCCACGTGCGGGCCAAACATCGGAGGAGTTGACAAAATTTCAATGATTCTGTTATCATTGTTATAAATTTTCTAGTGATCTTATTAACGAGAACAGCCCGAAAATGCGGCGCCGCCGGTTCCATATATGCAATACGTTCGTCCAGAAATGAGATTGATTACGCGTTCCAGGATGCAACCGCTCGTCGTTGACTCAAACGCCGAGGAAATTTGTGCCACGGCACAATGAAAGCACCTCGAGCGGAAACGCGCCGATTGAATTACGTCGCGCGGATGCAATAATGGATACTTAAGCGCGAGCAATTAGCGGGAACCGGCCGCTACCAGTGCTTGCCATTAGGGAAACACAACGAGGCCAGTTTCGGGGGTTTAATGAAGACACGGACGCTGCCTGCGGACGGAAGTTACGAGAGATCAGTGCGTTGGTTATGCGGGAATCACGAAACTTTTCGGTTATTTTATTTTTCCTCTCGTTACGACCGAACGAATTTCTCTCTCTCTCTTTCTCTCTCTCTTTCTCTATGTTTCCTTCTCCATTATTTTCGTACTTGTTAAAAGTAATGTAGGTTTTTATTTAAAACACTATATCTATTAAATAACGATGAAAAACAGGGTAAACTCCCATCTATCACGCTCTATCTCTCGAAACCTAAACTACAGCTTAAAATTACGTTTAATGTCTATAGAGTATTTTCCCGATACTACAGTAATTAACGAATTGTTAATTCGCAGCGAATTGAAGATTATTATTCGAGTCATCAGTAATTCTTTGCTACGTCGCACACTTGGAGCAAGAATTAAAAAAGTCAAAAAAATATGTTTCTCGGGAGATACATACTCCATCTTTTGTCATTTTAGGAGAAATGTTAATGAAAGCTAAAAATCTGAGGTGGCTGGATACCAATAACCTAAAGCTAAAGCTAAAGTTGAGGTGACTGGTTTTCTACAACATAAACCTAAAGCTAAATCTGAAGTGGCTGGTTATCACTAATCTAAACCTAAAGCTAACGTTGAGGTGACTAGTTACCTATGACCTAAATCTAAAACTAAAGTTGAATGGTTACCAATGATGCATAGATGTTCGTGATGTGTAGAGATATTCATGTTGTACAGATGATCATTCTGTTCTATTTGTGAACATATGTAAACAATATCTTGCTAATGCATATTTAGGAGGATGGAGAATAATGCTTGCAAATGTCCATACGCACATGGTCAGAGTACGTTTACCACGGTCATGGTCGTGTTTGTGGAGTACAGTACGATGTCTCTTGAAGGTAAAGTGCTGCAGTTTCAAACGCTGCGAGATGTGCAGCGTCCAGATCCAACGGCTGACGCGAGGCGGCCCAGCCAACCAGCGCACGAAGCCCAGTTCCGCTCATTGGCTCGGTCGCCTCGCGCCAGCTGAGCTGGGATTCGACCGCCTCGACCGCTGGCGCCGTTGGCTCGGCCGCCTCGCGCCAGCTGAGCTAGGATTCGACCGCTCGACCGCTGGCGCCGTTGGCTCGGCCGCCTCGCGCCAGCTGAGCTGGGATTCGACCGCTCGACCGCTGGCGCCTCTCATTGGTCACTGTTTTTCGTTAATAACTCGTTAACGGTGCCTCGGAGAAAATTTTTGCAAAGGAAAAAGTTGCTTCAAATGATCCAAGGAACNCGTGATGTGTAGAGATATTCATGTTGTACAGATGATCATTCTGTTCTATTTGTGAACATATGTAAACAATATCTTGCTAATGCATATTTAGGAGGATGGAGAATAATGCTTGCAAATGTCCATACGCACATGGTCAGAGTACGTTTACCACGGTCATGGTCGTGTTTGTGGAGTACAGTACGATGTCTCTTGAAGGTAAAGTGCTGCAGTTTCAAACGCTGCGAGATGTGCAGCGTCCAGATCCAACGGCTGACGCGAGGCGGCCCAGCCAACCAGCGCACGAAGCCCAGTTCCGCTCATTGGCTCGGTCGCCTCGCGCCAGCTGAGCTGGGATTCGACCGCCTCGACCGCTGGCGCCGTTGGCTCGGCCGCCTCGCGCCAGCTGAGCTAGGATTCGACCGCTCGACCGCTGGCGCCGTTGGCTCGGCCGCCTCGCGCCAGCTGAGCTGGGATTCGACCGCTCGACCGCTGGCGCCTCTCATTGGTCACTGTTTTTCGTTAATAACTCGTTAACGGTGCCTCGGAGAAAATTTTTGCAAAGGAAAAAGTTGCTTCAAATGATCCAAGGAACCCGCCATTTCCGGATTGCGAGACATTTTTGGGACACCCTGTATATCCTCGCAGGTTCATTGTAACTATTGTCCTCGATATTCGATCCGCCATTCCGTTCTTTTTGTTTTCAAATTTTAAGTCCAGAATCGTAACCAGCGATCATCAACAGCTTCGATCATAAATTTTCAATCGAATCTAGGCCGTCTTTATCTTTCGGCCACGTGATTTGTGACCACAGCACAAAATTCTACTGCAAGAATTAAATACACACAGCGAAAAGTTGCTCTAATACATTGCAATAGTACCTGCAGTTACAAACGCTGCAAGAAGCGCAGTGAGCAGATCCAGAGGACAAAGACAAACGGAAAGAAATCAACGCATGTCGCCGACAATGAAATAATCGTACCCTATAATCGCACCCGTAAGCAGCTGCAGTCCCACTCCGCAATCAAGGTCGCAAACTAAATCTTTCGTCCCGCTACGTCCCGTAATCGCATCCGCAGAGTCCGAGACTCTGCAAGAAGCGTGCACACGCATCGATCGACAGTTCCGACACGGCCAATAATTTCATAGACCCGTATCGGGCTGCACAAGTAGCAGGAATAAAAGAAGTAATGTCGCGGCAGCTGTTTCATCGCGAGCCGGGGTGGCTGGAGAGTTTGTTCGATCGGCAATGGCACGGCGGCGCTCCAGCAAACAGCTTATCGTTCGAGCCTGGCAAAAAGACGTGCGCGGCCGTCTGAAATCGATAATGCTATCACACGGCACGGCTCGGCACGCTATGCCACGCCAGGCCAGGCTAGGCCACGCCACGCCATGCCACGCCACGCCACGATTGAACGCTTTATGCAGCTGCGATTTCCTGCGTCGCGTCGCGTCGCTGCTGCACCGTTGCACCGTCGCGTCGCACCGCTGCACCGCTCGGCGCGCCTCCGATGAATTCGATAAAACCCGATCGAGCTCAAGCACCGCGACAAAACGTCCCTTAATTGCCAGATTGATTCGCAGCTAGCGGCGGCCGGGACGCGCGATTATCCGAGCGTGAGCCGGCGATAAAGTTCCCCCTATCCCCGCGAGGGAGGGGAACCGTAATATCCGCCTACTGATAGACTTTCTGTGTAATTTCACCTCAGCCGCGACCAGAGAGCGAGAGAATGAGCGAGAGAGTAAGGAAGAGAGAGAGAGAGAGAGAGAGAGAGAGAGAGAGAGAGTGGCTCTTTCTGCCGCGCAGCCCCAACGTTTTCTCACACGATCGCTATGTCCGATTTCCACGCGAGCTAACCGGTATTCAAAGCTACCCAGCCGTGCGATCGTGATCGACCGCGGGATCTAGCGTTTCATCGGAATCGACTACAAAGGAATCTCGCGTGATTCCCCACTTTTTTCCCCGTTTATTTCTTTTCCGATGGCAGCGAGAGACGGAACTTCTGTTCGACGCGTCCCCGTGTGTTTGATCTGGCCTAATGATTTCGTAGCCGGTGGCTGACGTTTTTGCGGCTGTTGTCGTTTTATTACGTGTTCTCCTGCTTTCCGAATCACCGTTTTCCTTTTTCCCTGTCGGCGAGAGAGTAAATTCTGCCGGACGGACCATCGCGTTGTTTTATCCGGTTTCCTGATCTTCTCTAGCTGGATAATTTAGTTTTCTTTGCGCGCCGGATATTTATCGGCCGCAGGTTTATTTCGTTGCGAACGAAGGGGACTGTTGGATCGGCCATGTTCGATCTGGTTATAGAATTTTGTAAGACAGGGGTGTCAAACTCTAAAGCTAACTTGGGCCAAATAAACAATCCTTAACTTTAGGTGGGCCGCAAAAAAAAGAATCAATGTTCATAGAAACAAATATTTTTATTTAGATTAGTACATTGTAATAAACATATATAAAGTTCAATTATTGTTTACGTCCTGATACTTGACATCTCTTCTCTGATACTATCTTTCCTATTTCGGGAGAAATTTTATTGGCCGAGACTATTTCTATTTTATTTTTACTTTGCGTCGGATATATTGACTGAGCCGCAAAAATGTTCATCTCGGGCCGCGAGTTCGACACCCCTGCTTTAATATGTACTTGTGGTGAAAATATGATTTTATTTCACGGCACTGCCAGGGAGCTCTTTACGTAACGAATCTTAGCAACGACTGATTTTGGAATCCCGAAAAGAAAACTGGGGTCCCCTCGTATCTCTGGACTGTTATGGTTATACTCTACAGTCTGAGCAGCCATGAGTCCTCGAGACCAGGTATTGATACATACATATACTTTCTTAGCTCGATTTACGGGACAGTTCTGAGAATATTGATTTGTTTTTATTA